GTAATACCAAGGGTGAAGTTTATTATAATTAGTGACCTGTGCTTCTTTTTATATGTAGATGTTTCTGGTTTTGAGAATAAATCGGTTGAACGACACCCAAAATTTAAAGGAAAAATTTGCATACCCAGAATATGCCCATCAAGGGTTATATAGCTCAAATTTCCTTTAATGGTAAAAATTATTCAATGCAAATTAACTTTTTTAAGTGACTGAAATATTAAATAGTTTACAATATGGTATATCACTAAAAATATATTACTTTTAGGTACAATTAGGGCCCGATACATTTCAAAAAGTAGAATATTATTTTATATTAAATGAGGTATTGTACTAACAATCAATTTATATTAATAACGGAGATTAAAAAATAACAGAATAAATAGTTCTATTTTTTATACTACAAAAATAAACCATAGAATACAACAGTATTTAAAAAAATAAATAAAAAGTGATGTTCCGGCCGAGATTCGAACTCCGGTCTCTCGCTTCCTAGCCCGACTCCTTATGCACTGCTCCACAGTAACTTGCCTAGCGATAATTCAATGACGGTATATAAACAAAAAAATAGGTTTATAACAATATCTTGACGATTTGAACTGGCGCGCGGAGCGTGCTGACCAATAGCGCCTGTTATCACCTGTGACGTAGCGACCAACCTGCGCAATATCATACCTTGTATTCTTTGTACCATGGGGCAAATGCAGTCGTGAACTTTTGACAACAGTTAAATGCCGAAAGCTGACATAACTCAGTCATGTTCTTTGTGGAAATAGTTACCGGATTCTACAACTTATAATGAAGGGCAAAATAGAGGGCCGCAAGGACGTAGAAAGAAAATAAATTCTTGGTTGAGAAACAACCGAGATTGGACAGGCATACATAACGCCAAACAATAATTGATTATAGAGTGGCTGAAAACAGGTATCAGCTCGCCATCGCGATTGCCAACGTCAGGGGGACCTGACAAGACACAGTTAGAAGAAGAAGAAGAAGAATTTGTCCAGCTTCTCTAGGCATCCTTTTACCAACTTCGAATTCATGGTTGTTACTAAGGTGATCGCTCTTAAGGGTGCTCAGATAAGATTGGTATTTCTTGTTTGGATCTAATATCAAAAGAAATAACGTAATTGCTCTTATAAAAATAGAGATTGTTCTATTTTTACAAGACAAATTATCAATTCAGTTGCTTTGGTATTTACATGTCCTAATAGTTTATAGATGCCAGTCTTAAAAAATAATACACAACATAAAAATTTAAATACTTTTCTGTTTTTCTAGAACGTTTATAAAGAATTATCACTCAACTTGGCATCACTGGCGCTATTCAGTGTCTTCACCTGATGCTCTTGAATATTGAAGATGTTACGTCTTTTTCACTTTGAAGGTCAAAAGTATCATTAAACTAGAATAACCTAGCCAACTACTATTCTTTTTTTCTCATCGTGACTCTCATTAAATTCAATTTCTCATTACAATACATACATTGTGTAAGTGGATAATATTTCAGTTTAATCAAGGATTACATAATTTCTTTTATATTTTTTTCTGTGCACTGATTTTAAATTAGTTTAAAGTACATGAAAAAATAAATGGTTACTTTCACAATACACTCAATATTAAATCAAGTTCTGATTATTTTTTGGTTAATTTTAGTTAATTATTACTTATTTTTTTACGTTTAATTTAATTGCAAATTATAAGCTTTAATCTTTATTTTTTATTTGTATTTTTAGTGTTGTAGCTAAGGGATTAAGTCCCGAATCTCATTATTATTATTACTACTGGAGAAACATAAAAGGGTATATAATCCTGTGCGTCATCATCATCATCATCATTTTCAGCTTATTCAACCAATTCCAATTATAGTGTAGCCTCTCTCACATATTTAGATTCTCCCTTTGTAGTTGGGCTCATTGTTGTCTATTGTTGACTATGCGGGCCCAAGGTATCCTTGCTAATTTCCAAGTATCATGGTCCCATCTCAGGTTTGGTCTTCTTCTAGGTCTCTTAGTTCCTCGTGGGTACCATGCTGTAATTTTTGTGGTCCATCTGTTTTCCATTTGTTGTCCATCTTCTTGCCAGATATCCTGCCCATTGCCATTTGAGGGATTTGATTCTGTGGATGACATCTATTACCTAGGTCTTTTGTTGAATCCACTCTATTCTTTTACTGTCTTTCTTGGTTATTCCCAGCATATTTCGTTCCATTGAGCGTTGTGCGACCTGCAGTTTTCTTATGATGTCTGTTTTAAGTGTCCAGATTTCGCATACATGACTGGTAGTACACATTGGTTGAATGTTTTCTAATTTACATAGAGTGGCATTTCTTCCATAAGTACTCCATGCTAACTTAATTCTCCTGTTGATTTTTTGTCTCAAATATACCATATATTTTTCTACTATTTCTGCTGTTTTATAAATAGGTAGGTAAATCTCACATCAACATTTTGTTATTGTACAGTGTGTCCCATTTTGGTTCAAATCATAGGGTATCTCCATTATTATATATATGAAGATAGAAGGTTGCGGTTTGCACAAACCTGTTCCACTTTTTCGTTAAACGGAAGATGCTGCAAACAAAATTTTCATAGCCCTCTTAGTTTCTGAGCTACAGGGTCTTTTCGAAAATTTTGCAATTTGGGACACCCCCTGTATCTCTGTTATTGTTAAAGGTATCGAGAAGGCGAAAACTGCTTATTGTAGAACCTTTTACGTGGAATACAGTGGCGTAGTCTGTTTTTCTACCAAAAAAAATATTTTTGAAAATATGAACTAAAGTTATGTGTTTTCAAACGGAACACCCTGTATATTTATAAATCATATGATCTGTCTTGCTATGAGCTTCTTAAATATATATATCACTCTATATTTATTTTTACTATTTACTGCAATATTTAAAATGTATCATTTTCTTATTAGTAGGCCGTGATAAATAACAAAAAATCAAAATGGTATTTACTAAAATAGTCATACACATATTAAAATTAATTTGGGATTGATATATTTTACTTTTGAAATAACTGTTACCACTGAAACTGTGAATATATTTTTATTTTTTTTTATAACGGAATGGGTTTGCAAATATCTAAAAGCTTGGATTGTTAAAGCATTTTTCAGGTGTTCGACATTGTTGTAGGTTGTAGTGCCCACGATATATTTCGTATTTCAAAAATCCCCAAAATCAGAAATCGAGAACGGCGAAATCCGGGAATCGAGGAGGCTATCAATATGTGTTCATTGGTTCCAATTCATTAATTTGAAAAATAATCATTTAACAGTATTCTAATATTTTCATAGTTATGAGGAGGAATGTTCCCCATTTTGCTGAAAGTATATATCACGTAAATTAGCTAAAGGAATATCTAAAATTTCCGATACGATAGATTATTCTTACGTATACACGTATTCCAAGATTTACAAATAGCGGTAGAGAGTTAAGTTTTCCTAATATATAAAGAATTTATTAGCGGCTCCCAAAATAAAACAAGAGACAGATAGCAGTATACTTTTAATAATTCTTTAGTTTCTTTTATTATCAATCATGGCCTACTAATAAATATGATCTTTTAATAAAAACTTTTAAATATTGCAGTAAATAGTGAAAATAAATATAGAGTGATATATATTTTTGAAAAGCTTATGGCAAGAAAGATCATATGATTTATAAATATACAGGGTGTTCAATTTAAAAAAACATAACTTCAGTTCATATTTTCAAAAATATCTTTTTGGTAAAAAACCAGACTACGCCACTGTATTCTACGTAAAAAGTTCTAGAATAAACAGTTTTCACCTTCTCGATAGCTTTAACAATAACAGAGATACAGGGGGTGTCCCAAATTGCAAAACTTTCAAAAAGACCCTGTAGCTCGGAAACGAAGAGGGCTATGAAAATTTTGTTTACGGCATCTTCCGTTTGACAAAAAAGTGAGACAGGTTTGTGCAAACCGCACCCTTCTATCTTCACTAATAACGGAGATACCGTATGATTTCAACCAAAATGGGACACCCTGTACAAATCAACAAATTTAACGCATCAGAACTCAATAATTTATTATTGTCGGTTTAATAAGTACATTATTAGTATTATTATATCTACTATAATTTCCTTTTTTTTAAATTTAATTTAGTTAACTTGTCTCATCTCATAATGCAGGAGGTACAGTGTGTCCAAGAATACTGAACACATATGAATTTTTTTTTTACTTTAAAGGTTTCCCAGAAATTTTTATTCTTCAACATTCTTTCTGTCAAACGCCAATAATTGTCCTATAGCATCGATATTCTTGAGCTAATATTCTATATTTTTAAATCTTCCCCGTATATGAAGTGAAATACTTTAATATCTACTAGTTTATTTGGAGTTTATGAGGATGTGAGACATTTATCAAGAATAAAAATTTTTGTACAACCTGAAACAAAAAAATAAAGAAAAATTTCAAATCCTAAATTCTGAGACACTTATACACCATAAAAAAAACGGCGTCAAAGACGGCTGGGGAATGAAAATCGACGATAATTTTGGCGAGGTCAAGCCCTAGACGTCGCGTCAGTGGCCTGTACGTATTTTTTAATGGCGCACACTGCTAGTTGGTCTTAAGAAGGTTGTAATTTATTTTTATATTGAGTAAAAGTGATTTTTAAATGGTGTAGTCTAAAATTGGAGAAAAAATATTTTTTTAGAAATAGATTTGCGTGTCTGAAAACGTTCTATCTTCTTTTAATTTTTCTATAATTAGTGTTAATTTTTGACAAGTTTTATGTCAATTTTTAGTAAACGATATTTAGAGAATGACCGCACCAAAATTATCATCGAATGTCTTCGCAGCCGTGTCTTTGACGCCGTTTTTTTTCCGCTCATACGGTATTGTTATTTAGGTACATATTTATGAAATGATTAAAAACTATTATAGTGTTTATATAAATCTTTCGTGCAAGAAATTTGCTTGTTATTGGTTTAGCAATGGAGAAAATTGAATAATGCATTTAATTTACCCAAACAATTTGTTATAGATATAAAAAGTTGTATCGTCTTCATATAATATTTAGTTTATAACTTTTTTAGCTGAAGTTATTACCATGTTGGTAAGTTATTCAAAAGTTTTGTATTTTTGATTGTAGTGCTGATGGTGCTTGAAAAATATGCTTTTGTTTTTTTTTACCAGATCAGAACATTTAATTATTTTTACATTATACAACGATTATACTCAACTCCATATTTTTGAATTATCTAAGAAATCGCATCCAATATTTATCTGGTAAAAGTTCTTCGGAATTTCTCTGTGTAAAGATATAGTTATTTATAATCTAATGTTATATACGATGAATATTGTTTTGTTATACATGGCTCGTTGGTCTAGGGGTATGATTTCCGCTTAGGGTGCGGGAGGTCCCGGGTTCAAATCCCGGACGAGCCCAAAACTTTTTTATTTTTTTAAACATCAAAAATTCATTACTTATATTCTTGAACAATTGGTATGAATATTTAGTTACAAATAATAATGAATAAAAAAGATTCTTTATTTATTGGATAGAAAAAATATACTAAAAATTATTAAGGTAATACTTTAGGCAACCAAAGATACTTATGGTACTATCTGTGGTACTTATCAACAAATTTCTTTAAGGAATTAATAATAATATATTATACTTTATTTTTGCTTTAGGGATTTGCAGTATTATTGGTGTCAATCAGTCTTTATGGTGTCAATTATTCAGTTGCCATTGAAACTGCTACATATACGACAAAGTACGACAATGTTGACATTTTGGAAGTACTAAATAACGAGAGACTTTTGAAGAATTATGTGAATTGTCTTTTGGATCAAGGACCCTGTACATCGGATGGCATGGAACTAAAACGTAAGTTACATAAAAATCATATTTATTAAAAAAAACTATTTTTGAAACTTGTACCGATATGCGACAGTACCTTTCATGTTTCTTGACAAATTGGCGAATGTTATATAAATAATCTTAAAAATATTCATATTCTTCAAAAAAATATCACTACGTTAAATTCCAAATATATTTTATCACTAGACTATAGTTTGTGATTTTATTTAATACATACATATACTACCGAATGATAAAAAAAAACGGCGTTCAGTAACATTGATGACATTTTCCATATAATTTATAATTTTGTATATAAAACGACACCGATCTGCATTTATAGCCATCGCTGACGCCTTTTTTTTCGATCATACAGTATAAGCTAAGCTTAGTAATTTTTTGTTACGGGATATATTCACAGACTAAGTTAGTTTGTGGTATATATTATTGACAACGACATGTAGGCAAAGTCTGTCTAACGAATAGAGATAGCAAAACACCCGGTGTATTGAAATTTGGGTAAAAATACCCGATGTTTTGCATCCGGTATGTACCCAATGGGTATAATAAATACAGGGTACATTAATTTTGGGTATATACAATATACCCGGTAGCCAAACCAAACAATTTGTTGTTTTTTCTTATCTTATCCCACAAAGATTGGACGATAGCACAATAGCTTCCCAAGCAGCATTTGGACGTCGCGTCGAGACAACGTTGTGTCACGCGACCAAACGTCGCGTCGGGGCGCAACGTCGGCACAACCTCGTGCCAACCCTAGTCTGATTTAGTTAGAGACATATGCCAGATGACAGTAAAGGAAAACAAAACAAGAGTATTTAAGTGTGGAGGATGTTTGAAGATCATAATTATTGAAACACTTTAACCAACTCTGTAACTCGTTACCCAAGGCAAAAAACTTAAACGCAAACAACTTTATTGATAAATGTATTGTTTCTACTTTGAAAAATACTAATGGGCCTTAAAATTAAAGAAGTTTTAAAAAATTTCTTGAATTTTTTTTTAGTAAAATGAGAATAATTTATTCGCAGTCGAAAAAAATAGTTTCCGCGTGTTGTTTAGGGTCAAATATTTCAAGTTAATGTATCCAAAAAGCAGGAATAGCTATTTTAGGAACGAAACATTTTCTTATTCAAGAACATGGCGGCTTTCACTTTGTTGTTTTGGAGATTAAGATGGAGTAGTTCGAGTAGTCGCATACCTGGACTAATAAAGTCGCAGTTCAGCCTTAACAGGTAGTATACTAGTCGCAAGATTGCCTAATTTAGTCATCCTAGAGTGCCGCCATCTATATTGTGCCGCCCTCTATATTCTAAATAAACGAGCGAGTGTTAGTTTTATATGTGCCTTTCTTACGTCCCGTTTTAATTAAGTTTTTTTTTATAAAAACAAAAACAGCACTGAAAATTTTATATACAGAACAATGAAGTGAAAATTTAAGATTTAAGGTTATGGTTCAATACAGTTGCAAAAAGGTAGTGGCTCGACGTCCTGCCAACGTAAGAATAAGGAAATCTAAAGAACGTTGGAATTAGTAAAACAGACGACGTTTGCATAACGTTGGAATAGGTCCTGAAAGTGACGTCGGAAAACTCTTTATTGCCCAACATTGTAACTACGTTGTCCGAATCACCTAAAGATCACTTAAACAAAAAAGGTTACAAGACAACGTTTATTCGACGTCGCAGAAGCGTTTACTTTGTTGTAGTACCGTATGATCGAATAAAAACGGCGTCAACGATGGCTATGAAATGAAGATCGCTGTCATTTTATATGTAAAATTATATGGGAAATGTCATCGATCGTCATTTCCAAGCCAACTGGACGCTGTTTTTTTTCGATCATACGGTACTAGTTCAACGTCGGCACAACGTTACAACAACGTTTACATTTATTTTACTACCCAAGGTACGGAACTAACTATTTTTTTTTAACTAATCCAACGTTGTGTTTAGTAAACATGTGGTCGCAAGTCGTGCAAATGCTACTTGGGTTAATTGTATCGAAAATACACAGCACAACGCAGACAGTTCAATTTAGATCAGGTGAATAATTAAATTTTACAAGGGGGTTCCTCGACGAAACTCTCAATGGGTATATACGTGGTATATACCCAAGTTTTTTTATTATACCCATTGGGTATTTACCCACTGCCAATCACTGTTACAGATAGTACTTTTAATATTTCTTGACAAACTGGTGAAGGCAAGTATAAATTTTAGAAAAATAACTTTAAAAGTTACAAATAAAAAAATTACTAATTTTATCTCTCATCACTAATGACTACGTTACATTCTAAACATATTTTATTTGATATGCAATTAGTATAACCTCAGTAGCCATTTTGTAAATATTTATTCAAAATTTATATATAATAAAATAGAAATAATAAATGTATAGTAAAATAGATTTAAATATTTCAATTAATGATTTTTTTAAATAAATATATGTTTAAAATCTTTTTTAAAAGATATTTTAAATATCTTTATTTGGATTTTGTTAGAGTTTGAATTGTTATTTACGAAAGAAGTAATTGTTATTAATTTTCAAAGTAAAATAATTCGTCGACATTTTGAACTTATTTGAAAAACGGCAAAGAGAAAATATATTTCTTCGAGATATACCAGCCCTAAAAATATGTGCAATTAGTTAACACTCACCCTGTATATTATATATCGATTAAGATTTCTTTAAAAAATATGTCATACTGGTTTATAATTCGATTAATTTTAGAAATACTGAAGTAATCATGTTGATGAACTTTTGTACCTTTAATTGTAAAATAATTAGAGTTTTACAAAATAATATAATTGTAGTCACTTAACAGTAATACCGGCCGTTAATGACTTTAATGAAGTGAAATCGCATGCAATGTTTCGTAAATTTTAAACACATCAAACGATTTATTGAAATTTAAACATGGGTTTAATATTCAAAATTCTAGTTGAAAATCAAATATTTTATTGTCAAATATGTACCAAACATAGACTTAAAATAAAATATAGACTGAGCATCTCATTCATAAATAGCTGGAACATGCGGTCAGACGCTGTCTTGTTATTGTTGTGTGTGAGCGATAGATAGGTTGTCTCTGTCGTAACGGTCGTTCCCTGACGACTCTGCCGAGAAACACAACACTGTCTGACGTTTCTCAAGTACACCTGAACTCTCCGTATCATAGCCGGGTAATTTTTTTATTTTAATGAAGCTATAATTAAATTAAAAATATATCGTATTTAAACTTTTTTATATTTTATTAAGATTTAGGAGAGGTTTTTTAAATAAAAGTTTAGAAAAAACAATTTAGAGTCCAAAAAGAATAAAAATAATAAAATACACGTTATAGAAGAAATTTTATAATCGAAATTAGGTAATTTTTGAAATTAATAATAAATTATTAATTTTAGTCAAACATTTACAACCCCTAATATTAATAAAAACAGGATCTATTCCACAGATATAATAGAATCGGCGACAGGGAGAGAAGAAAAAAAATATGATTGTTGTAATTTTTTTTCTGGTTAAGTGATGTCTTATTATGTAAATTAGAGAAAACATAAATCTGTTCCATTAAAGCAAGGAAGGTGATAGGAAGTGGAGAAAATAAAAACTACATTTATTTAACTCGGTACTGTCTTTATTATACCGGGTGCGTCTCAAAAGTGGCTCATCTCCATAATTTTTTTTTATATTTTCAAATAAAAAAACAAGATTTAGTATGTTAGTATATGAAATAAATTAGGATTGATTGACGCCTTCAATTGTTTTTGGTCACTTCCTGTTTCACCGGAAATGACTATAACTTTTAATTTTTAAACGGCACCCTCGGTATATTTCTACTTTATTCGATAGAAAATGACACTCTGAATAGAATGATATACCATATGTCAACTTTTGACATTTTCGCATATGGTTTAATTGTAATTGTAACACGCGGTTCATAACGACAATTTGACTCGAAATACCAAGTGTGTGGTATCAATATATTCATAAAAAATGCTTTTTTCAAATATGCTAATGTGTCACCCTTGTTCCATTTGAAAAAATTGACATATGTATGATTAAAAATACGATTTGTAGATCTTTTAACCGGCCTAGACAAGACACGAAACCTATTAGACGATCAAAACTATTTTTCCAAGGCTCCTTGATTAAAACTTAGTGGATTGAAAAAAACTGGATTGAAATTTAAAATAGGATATGTTTTTAAGCGACAATGTCAAAAGTTGACATATGATATGTCATTCTATTCAGAGTGTCATTTTTTATCGAATAAAGTAGCAATATACCGAGGGTGCCTTTAAAAATCAAAAGATGTAATCATTTCGGTGAAACAGGAAGAGACCAAAACAATTGAATACGTCAATAAATCCTAATTTATGTCATATACCTACTAACATACAAATCTGTTTTTTTTATCTGAAAAAAAAAAAAAGTTATAGGGTGAGCCACTTTGAGACGACCCGGTATATTAAAAATATTGTTTCATAATGTAATATCATTTTAAAATTCTTGTATGTTATTTTAGATTCTGAAGATAATTTTAGAATAAACCGGAATATATTTTTAATAAAAACATTATTAATTATTAACAGGGTTATAATTACGATTTTCTTACAATGTAAGTAAGCAAATAAAGTAATGTAAAAGAAAAAAATCAGATTTTACATTTTACTAAAATATTATCTAAATAAGCGCCTTTCTACAACAACGCCACTGACTCCCAATGGGTAAATTGAGAGTTGCCTACCGGTCAAAAGTCGTTTCAAGACTTAAATGGATTATTTAAGTCAAATTTCTTTGCAAATTTGGCACTGGCGAACCATATTTTATAGTTTTTGAACAGAAAAAGTCAATAAAATAAACACTTAAGGACTACAAGCTAAGAAAATGCGTTAATACAGCCGGGGAGATAGCGGCAACAAAGCTTTACCGCACACGTGCGATACGTACTACAAGGTAATAAATGAATGAATAGGCTCCCTCGCCTCTAATCGGTGTTGTCATATTGTAAAGAACTTATCCTTATTAAACAGTATCCGACTTATAATTTAGTAGTATAAGGACTATTTAATACATCTATGGAATATTAAAACCTACTTTATTAAACTGTAGTATTAATATCTCAATATATGTGTATAACAAGAAAAAAAATATTGATAATATTAAAGACGTGACAACATAGGCTGGATGAGGAAGGCTCGATCGACTGTACCCAGAAGTAAACATGTGTACAAAAAAGGTTGTTTGTCCGCGTTGAGATGTAAATAGTGTAGCCTATATTTTATTTTAAGTCTATGGTACCAAATAAAAATATTCTCAAGGGAATCAAAGTGATTGTGAATTTACAACCGTTTTATACAGGGTGTCCCAATATTCCGTAGACATGGAACTACTACGTATTTTTGGAATCAAAATAAGTTCATTGGATACAATTTGCCTCTATACAAAAGTGCTTCGTTTGTCCGCTAGAGGGCATCAAACTTTAAGAAAATAAACACATTTTTTCAGATATTTTAAGAACCGTTATTAGGGTTTGAATGAGATTTTGGGTGCCAATGTTTTGCTAAGTGCTTTAACATTTGGCTTTCACAAAAATCAAGAAAAGGTACGGAAAGGATGAAAACAACCTCCACCCCTACATAAATTTTAGTATAAATATTTTCCAGAAAAATGCACACTTTTCTGCATGTAATTAACTCACCTAGCTTTAATCTGATTAGTTTTTCTAATGATCTTTTTTTTACAACTCTGATCACCCTGGTCTATACAGGGTGGTCCAAACTGTATTCCGGAAACTTCGGCAGCATATTCTGCCGATAAAAACATGTAAATAAGTTCGTATAAATGTATGTTCTAAATTGCTTAGTTTCGGGGATACAGGGTGTAAAAGTTTCATTTTTATTTCGATTTTTTCCAAATAATTTCTAAAATTATGTTAATATTTGGATAAAAATTGGCGTCTGGAAGGTTTTTGATACGAGAAATTTGATTTTAGTGTCAATATGACTCCTATTTGTAGGGGGAGCCACCTACATGTGGTTTTAACTGTTCTGAAGAGTAGTAACTTTTCGTACGTACCTGTAGAAAACTACTGAGTGAAAAAAATATACATTACCGTGATTTTTTACGTAAAAAATGTCTCTTGGTCTCAAGATATTTAGAATGGAAGTAATCAATACATGTCATTATTGACAAAAAAATAAGCATGTTGAGATAGTTATTTGACTGAAATGATAAATTTGGGAACTTTTTATTTATTTAAATTAATCATACATTTTTCTTCGAAAAAATTATGATAAAACAGTTTCTGTTGACCTTTTAACACAAAGTCATTTCAAATTTATGATTTCAAACTAATAACTATTTAGTCAACATATTTAATTTATGTCTATGATGACAGATATTGAGAATTTAGATTCTAAATATCTCGAAAACCACTACTCGTAGCGATTTTTACCAGAAGACCTTTTTTACGTAAAAAATATTTTAAATGTATATTTTTTTACTCAGTAGTTTTATACACGTACAGACGAAAAGTTATTACTCTTCAAACCAGTTAAAAATATGTAGGTGGCGCCCTCTACAAGTAGGAGTCATATTGACATCAAAATCAAATTTCTCATGTCAAAAAACTCCCAAACACCAATTTTCATCCAAATATTGACGTTACTTCAGAAATTATTTGGAAAAACCCGAAATAAAAATGAAACGAAGCCATTTCGGGACATAAATTTATACGAACCCTGTATCTCCAAAACTAAGCATTTTAGAACATACATTCATACAAACTTTTTTACTTATTTTTAATTGGAGAATATGCGAAGTTTCTGGAATACAGTTCGTACCACCCTGTATACATGCACGGGCCTGTATAAAAGGTTCATGTATGATGGGGATATTTAACAGGGTGCAAGGTTTTCCCCTTGTATTATTCTGCTGCGCTTGAGTAAATTCCAAAATCCTTGTTTTTTTATCCCCCACTAATAGTACATACATCGAAATCCTATACCAGCAAGGCAATGATATTTTAAAGTATATTTTACTCGTATAGAAAAAGTTTTAATACAGTTTTATCACAACCAAACCAAACCAAAGTTTATTTAAAAACTATGTATGTATTTAAGAATGTCAGCTTATTACAAGGTCAAAATTTTTATTTATATTTTTTAGAAAATATGCCTGATGCAATTACTAGCGGTTGCAGCAAATGCAGCGAGAAACAAAAAGAAAAATCGGAAATTATGATTGCCTACCTTATCGATAATAAGCCGGACTACTGGACACCGTTACAGGAGAAGTATGACCCGACAGGTGATTACAGGAAACATTATTTGGAAAGCAAGAATTCGGATACATCGACAAATGGAGATAATATGAATAACATGGACTAATATACTAATATAGACACCGTATATGTATTATAATATAAATATAACAATATATTAGAAAAATATGTATTAAAGTTCTTGCATCCTTTTTTAGTATTTTTTTTCGAAAACCTAGGCTCTAGGCTGGATTTACAGCAATGTCAATAATCTGTCAAAAACAAGATTTCGACTTAAACGATATCTGAAAAGTGATAGAAAATACAATTTACATATGAGGTAAAATGACTTTTTCATTTGCTATCTTTTCAAGAGTAGTGCTTCACAAGAAGAAATTAGAACTGGACCATTACTTCTGTTCATATTATCTTTAAATTTATTTATTTTGACACTCTCATATGCATCTAATATCTGTAATTTGAGAATGGTTTGGTTAATTTTAAATTACTAATTTAACATTTGAATGATCTTTATTAAAATTTTGTTGAGTTAATACAAGGTTTATCTGTATAATTTTCACATTATATTTTTTAAATACCCGCCCTTTCCAGTGGAGGTGCTTTATATTTAGGATTCTTTAATAGTAGTTGTGGTAATTTATTATTAGGACTATCCATCAAGTTTATAATAAACATTCTTAAAAGTTCTTTTTAAACCACGGGACAACTCTCTATATTAAACGGTATTAAAATAAAGTTTGGCGTACCTTTCTCTACTTGCGAAGCCGAATTTGCATAAATCCCAAACTTATACCACTGTTTAAGTTTGTGCTTATACCTATGTTGTGCCTATGTTTTCAGATTATTTTATCAACTAATGAATAATGAAGGAGAATACCCATTACACTCAGCTACTAAGTAGAAAAGGATGTAGTCTATGATCTAAGAAATTTAAACAAGCCATCTTATATTCAACACAATGATAAGACTCACTAGGGATATATTTGTGTGTAGTGGTCTTTTTTTATATAGATATCTATCTAATTCCAGGCAATTATTATGATTTCTAATAACTAATATATCTAGGAATGGTAATCTATCGATGTTCTCAGTATTTGTTTCTTTTAATGGAAGCAAAACCAGTATTTAATTTAGAATTAAAGTTGTCTATGCCGTCAGAATATGTGTCAAAAACGGCAAAATATATCATCCACATACCTAAACCATACTCTTGGAATAAGCTGAAACTGATTGTTAACCTCTATTCCAAATCTGCTTATGAATAAATTAGCCAAAAATAGAGACAATGGATTACTCGTTCTGTAGCTTTCCTTGTTAAAAAAATTGTTATTAAACTGAAAACAATTTTTATGTAAGTTCAATATATTCAGTCACAACTTTTTTACTGAAAGCATGTTGCATTCAGTAATTCTTTCACGTAGCCTAAACTATGTAGAATTGGCACCCACTTAACAACGAAAATACATCAAAGGAGACCAACATTTCACCTTCATGTAGTGTTATATTTTTAATTGTGATAATGAACTCTACCGGGTGCGTCTCAAAAGTGGCTCACTCCTATAACTTATATTTACTTATATACCGGGTGCGTCTCAAAAGTGGCTTACCCCTATAACTTTTTTATTTTTTCAGACAAAAAAAACGAGATGTGGTATGTTAGTATATGACATAAATTAGGATTGGTTGGTGTATTCAATTGCTTTTGGTAACTTCCTGTTTCACCGGAAATGACTACAACTTTTAATTTTTAAATGGCACCCTGGGTATTTTTTTACTTTATTCTATAGAAAATGACATTCTGAATAGAATGACATATCATATGTCAACTTTTGACATTCTTGCTTAGTCAAAAATTGTATTTTAAAATTCAATCTAGAGTGCCATGACTATGTTAAAGACACTAATTCTTCATCAAGGAGTAGTCAAGTAGTCAATAGATTTGATCGCCTAATGTTTTTAGTGTCTTGTCCTGGCCTGCTAGAAAATGCTCAAATCGTATTTTTAATCATATCTCAGTTTGAATGGAACGAGGGGGGCTCATTAGCACATTTGGAAAAAGCATTTTTTTACGAATAATTTGATACCACACACTTGGTATTTCGAGTCAAATTTTCGTTACGAACGACAAGTTATAATTTCAAATAAACCATATGCAAAAATGCCAAAAGTTGACTATGATATGTCATTCTATTCAGAGTGACATTTTCTATCGATAAAGTAAAAAAATACCGGGAGTGTTATTTAAAAATCAAAAGTTGTAGTCATTTCCGGTGAAACCGGAAGTGACCAAAGACAATTGAATACGTCAATCAATCCTAATTTATGTCATATAATAACATACCAAATCTTGTTTTTTTAACTAAAAAAATAAAAAAATTATAGGCCACTTTTGAGACTCACCCGGTATAGTGTTTTCGTGGTGAATTAGTGTTTTATTTTATAATAATCTCCGATGCAATGTTGCAGGACCCTGTAGCTGTAAAGTATAATTATTAATATATACCAGAAATATATTTATATTTCTTAGCTTTCTCAAATGTCAAATTGAATGTCACATGCGGTTTTCGCAAAAATAAAAATTCACTGCGGTTTTTGCAAAAACCGCATCATTTTTATTTATACGTATTTACATATATGTATAATATAATACATTACCGCACTTTTTCTTTCGATATACTTATTTTAAAGTTCAAAACAGGTTGACTACCTTGAAACCATGGTCTCATAAAATTAATTGCAAAAAAGCAAGTGTCGCTTCGATCAGTTACGCATTATATTTTTAACAGAGAAAACATCACATAAAAATTTTATCAAAAAAATGAGGGCCAAAATTTCTGTTTTACCCTTATTAGTTGTTTTGAGTGTTGTGTTTATGAATACAAATGAAGCTGATGGAGCCTCCATTGCTAGAAGTCGAAGAGCAAATGATATGTATACAACTAAATACGATAATATTGATGTGGATGCTATATTGGCTAGTAAGAGATTGCTGAGGAATTACGTGAATTGTCTGTTGGATAAAGGTGCCTGTACTAACGAAGGAAAGGAGTTAAAAAGTAAGTTATATTGTCTGTGGTTTGTACGCTTCAACTATATTAATAAGTATAAAATCAAAATTATTATTTTAGTATTTTCTTTATTGTGCCTTTAATAATGTTGTTAAGCGGTGAACTGGTTTTTTAATAGATTCTGTTCTGATGAATTTATTTGTCCATTTAAAATGCCTCAGACCAAGACTGATGTTTTCAACTAACGAAACATTACGTTAGTGTCGTTAAACAAAAAAGTATCTGTATCAGTGGTGGATATAGAGAGGGGGAGGGGCCATGGGGTCCACTTTCCCTCTAAAATTTATAAATTGGGTTGAATATTAGGCTTTTGGGTTAAAAATGGCGCCCTTAAAAAATGCCACCCTCCTTAAACATATTCCTGTATCAGCTACTGATGATCTTTATATAGTTTCTTTAAATAAATTTAATCTCGTCAGTCTAGAAACAAAACACACGTCTCATTTTTTTTTAATTTCTTACTTATTTGAATCATTTGACTGTATCCCTTCCAGAATATACAGGATGGTGCGAATTCTACTCCCGAAATTTCGGAAACATATTATACCGGGTGCGTCTCAAAAGTGGCTCACCCCTATATTTTTTTTTTATTTTTTTTAGATAAAAAAAATGAGATTTGGTATGTTGTAACGTTTTTAGTTCGTTACATGTCTTTTTTAAATATAATATATGATGTCTGGCCTATCATCACCGGATTCCCTCTCGTTCAGGGCGGATAGTTTATTTGACGCGTAATTTTTACGTTCCCTAGTCGCCAACCCTGTTATCGTTCGACACAACCCTGTTACTATTCTGTGGAGGCGCGCGCTGTCAACGTCGCTTCTGTCAACTCTCTCCGTGGTCCATGCTTAACCTCACTTTGTTTTGACGTTCTGTTGTATCCCAGCTTTTAGAAATGGTGATTATTTAAATCTTGCTGTATAATTTGAATCAGCTGCTATTTCGAAGCAACAGGTAAAGATGAAATATTATCCTTTTAGATTCGATATTATTATTGAATATTTTTAGGGTAGAGTTACGGATCTCCCAACTTGTATTTGTATTTTGCTGGCACGTTGGTGTCCCTTTTCTTTTGTCCTCCAGAATGTCACATGGAAGAAAGGACATGTTGTTTATTATTTATTGAGCCCTCGGAAGTATTTCGAGGTAGGTTTATTTTGTTTATTAGACCTTGTTTGGTTTTAAACAAGAGTTTCATATTTTTAGGGTCCAAGGTACGGACTGTGTCCAAGGTACGGACTGTGTCCAAGGTACGGACTGTGTCCAAGGTACGGACTATTTCCGAGGTACGGACTATTTCCAAGGTACGGACTGTGTCCCAGGTACGGACTATTTCCAAGGTACGGACTGTGTCCAAGATACGGATAGTGTCTTATGTACAGACATTATCTTATGTACAGATGTCCTGTGGACGAGTGTCCCCAGTAAGAATGATTTTTTTCTTACATATAAGTGCCACAGCGTGGATGTAGCTTGAGTCCCATGCTGCTTCACTCCCATTTCTAAGCCTAGTCAGTAGCTACGGCTGTAGTGATTCACGGTGTCCTCAATCTGGCCCCTTTTGTTGTTTTGGCCAACAGGATGGCCGACAGTACAGAGATGCGAGACCACCTCACGCTGCTACTGTTTGAAGCAAGATTACATAAAGAACAGCTAAGTGTAGATTTACGTTCTAGTTTTTATGTTTTAGATTTTCTATATTTTCAGTCTTAAATAATAACGTACATCTTAAGTAATATCGTACAGACTATGTTCAGTGGTTAGATTGTTAAGAACATTCATGTCGATATAATCTTTAAAATATAATTTAGATCTTAAGTTTCATTGCATTACGTCTTGTAATGGTATTACTTTTATAGATATTATTGCACTATTTTAATAGATGGATAATCAAACATAGATTCTAGAATCTACAGGTTGTAACATCTTCGATTTAGCATCATATGGAATATATCAAATTAATTAAAGTAATGCTACATTTCATATTTTCTCTTAAACTTTACATGTCCTGTATTTTATCGTAGTTGTTTTCATTGATATTTAGTACGACTCTTACCACCACATTCTTTGACATATAACCACTATATATTTACTAGAACTCTACAATGTCATGTATCAGCAAAGAACGTCATGAATAAATATAGTCATTAGTTTTAAGTATTATACAACTGTGTTTTCTTTCTCTGTACATGCCTGGCGCCCAATATCTATATATCTTTTGTTAATTATTACTGATTAATTTTCTCTCTAGTGAAATACCTTATCCACGACTGCTCTCCGATGAAAAGCTGCCGTTCGCAGTGGTAGTGGTTTAAAAAAAACGCTACAATGTTAGTATATGACATAAATTAGTATTGATTGACGGATTCAATTTTTTTTTGGTTGTTTCCTGTTTCACCGGAAATGACTACAACTTTTGATTTTTAAATGGCACCCTCGGTATATTTCTATTTTATTCGATAGAAAATGACACTCCGCATAGAATGACATATCATATGTCAACTTTTGACATTTTTGCATATGGTTTAGTTGAAATTGTAACATGCGGTTCAAAACAACAATTTTACTTGAAATACCAAGTCTGTGGTATCAAATTATTCATAAAAAAATGCTTTTCCAAGATTGCTTGATCGAATATTAGTGTTTTTGACACAGCCATGGCACTTTACATTGAAATTTAAATTATGATTTCTTTTAAGCGAAAATGTCAAAAGCTGATATATTATTACGTCATTCTATATAGAGTGTCATTTTTTATCGAATAAAGTAAAAAATGCCGATGCTGTCATTTGAAAACCAAAAGTTTTAGTTATTTCCGATGTAACAGAAAGTCATCGAAAACAATTGATTACGTCAATCAACCTTAATTTAGGTTATAATGCTAACATACCAAATCTAGTTTTTTACCTGAAAAAATAAAAAAGTTACAGGGGGTGAGCCACTTTTTAAAAACAACCAGTATACAGCCAAAAAAAATATTTTAACCCTATTTATAAAAATAAGTATAGAGTATATTATATTCTTACCAAGCTCATAACACGGCAAATAAAATAATATACAGGGCGTCCCAATATAAAAACATAAAATTGGATCAAATTTCAAGATAGCTTCCAACAAAAAACACTGAAAAACTGAAAAACAAAAGACACTGAAAAACCCTATAGGAAGCAGTTTTTACGTTTTATATATATTATAAAATAACGGAGATAAAAGGGGATTTAAAAAATGCATTAATTTCAATTTTGCCTTGTACAGGGTGGGTCAAATTCGACGCTTTTAAATGGAAACACCCTTTTCTATAGGAGATAGACAAAAACTAATATCGGTGTCTGGAGCTCAATTTTTGTCAAAAACATGATGGTGAAAACCGCATATCGATATCTGTTGCCGTTTCGGAGTTACGGGGTGTTATTCAAAAATATGCATTTTTAACAAATCACTGTAACTTTTTTGCCATGGAAAATTTTGTATTTTAATGAAAACATTTCCAAAGCAACTTTTTACGTAGAATTTAATGGTTTAAGTATAATTTTTTTAAAATTAATAATTAAAGAATTATCAACAGAAAATTTGATTTTTTATATGGGATACCCTGTATATTTTTAATTTATTGAAAATAATTTAAAATTACCTTTCCAAAAATATAACACACTTGATATTTTGCTTGATTCCTCTTCGAGTTATAGAATATATAAAAATTCGCCCGCTTTAAATAAGTAGGCTTTGAACGACACCGGCTGTAATGCAAAAAAATTCTAGCTGTGAGCATCAATTAAAACGAAAATAATATTTGCTATTAGAGATGCAGAATTATGTAACAATTTAAAATATATTTAACCAACATCAACACATTTAAACTATATCTAATAACAATAAAAATAAATAGCAAACCAAGACATGAGATCTTGCTACAGGTGTTCGACATATCAACCGTCTTCTGTTATGGACAGACGGGGCAGTTTTTGAACATTTCTCGCGGAATTCATTAACTCAGTGGGAGTGAAAGATACCCTCTCATAACTGCTAAGTATTTCTAATTCTTGTCTAGATTATACGGAAGAAGAAGGAACCTTTATTCTTCCGCAAATATATCCATAGGCACTAAGTCAGGCGGCCTCGACGGCCAACGGCTGGGATCTTGGTGAGCTATTCAATTATTCTTGAAATTGGCTGCAAAAATTTGCTGATAACTTCAGCGTTCAGAGGCGGTGCGTTTCCAGCAAGACGCTGGAAAAATATGTTTTCGAGTTCCATTAAGGGCATATCATCAATAAGGGGTCCAAAGCCTACTAGTTAAAACTGGCGAACTTTTAAAAATTCTGTATTTCGAAGGGGATTATAACAAAATATCAAGTGTGCTATATTTTTGGAAAGGTAATTTTAAATTCTTTTCAGTTAATTAATAATATAGAAGGTGTCCCAAATAAAAAATCAATTTTTCTGTTGATAACTCTTAAATTATTAATTTTAAAAAAATTATACTTAAACCATTAAATTCTACGTAAAAAGGTGCTTTGGGAATGTTTCCATAGAAATACAAAATTTTCCATAGCAAAAAAGTTACAGCGATTTGTTAAAAATGCACATTTTTGAAAAACACCCCGTAACTCCGAAACGGTAACAGATATTGTTGTGCGGTTTTCACCATCATATTTTTGATGAAAATTGAGCTCCAGACACCGATATTATTTTTCGTCTATCTCCTATAGAAAAGGGTGTTTCCATTTAAAAGCGTCGAATTTGACCCACCCTGTACTTCATGAAACCCACATCTTTGTATCTCTACTCGTAAACGAGAAACCCTGTAAAACACACAACAATAGGACACCCTGTACATAATATTAGTATTTATATGTCTTCTTTCTTTTGCAGAATACCTGGCAGATGCTCTAGCAACGGAATGTTCGAAATGTAGCGAGACCCAAAAAAAGATTGCTTCCAAGGTGCTGAATGAGCTCCTCTTGAACCACAGGGATGACTGGAATCAGCTGACTGCCAAGTACGACCCCGATGGCAATTTTAGGGCGAAGTACGAATTTGAAAGTGACGACTACTCTGATTTAGAAGATGCATAATATGTAGTTTATAGAATGTTTATTAAAAAATGTGTATAAAAATTGAATTTAATTGTTTAGGTTTCAAAAATTTTTGTTGTCTTTTATCTTAGAATAAACTATTTTTTTTTATTATTACCTAATTTTATTTTATATCTATATTTAAGCATTTTTTGTATCTTTATTTATTGTTAATTTAATTAATTAATAATAATGGGAAAGAACTAATTTTGTAATATATTTTTTTAAACAAGGTGTGAAATTTCAAAGTATTATACCTAGTTCTTAAATATTTAAATCAAAATTAGTCTTAATTACAATATTTTTAATACAATTTATGAATATCTGTATTAATAGGTTGTAAATATATACACACAATCTCCTATCTTATACAGGGTGAGTCTTAAATGAGTGCAAATCTTTTCAGGACTGGTAGATCTTAATAAAAGAAACACATTTTCTCTTTACCGTTTTTCAAATAAGTCCAAAATAACCCAGTTATTTTACTTTGGAAATTAGAAAAAAAATATTTTTTGCTTAAATTTTGAGAACCTCTGATTACTTCTTAGGTTTTTTGTTCTTCCGTATTTAATCTACAACCTATGTTGCAATATTATCAAGAAATATTTTTTTCCAAAAAATTAAAAATTTTCCAGAAAAAATAAACCTCATAGGCGTGTTTCTATGGTCGAAATATACTACCACTAAAATATTTGCACTTATTTTTGCAAGACGCACCCTGTTTAGGAGTGGAGACTATAAGGATTTCGTTAACTAGAAATAAAAGATGATTAGATAAAAAATTGCTTTTTACTTAATCCTGTAACGTGGTAATGGGGATGTGAAATGTGCATTGGCAAAGCTTTTCAAATATAGCCAGAAAAAAATTAAATCAAAATCGGGTAAGCTCGGTTTTTTTCAAATATCTTCGGAAGGAATCTTTTTTTTTCAAATTTCAATGTTTGAAATGATCATCTTTATACTTTTTCTGGTTTACAAAATCCCTATAGTGTGCATTCTTATATGAACCACCGTGTATACTGTCTATTTTTCGTACAATTTGTTAAAGTTTTAAATGGGACACTATATACAAAAATGATTATACAAAGAGGAAGTCTTGGCCGATCAATTATAACAAAAACTTAGAAGAAAATTCTTGGGGATAGTGATCTGAAGGCAAAGATTAAACAATTTTTTACATACGCCAAGCTTTGCAAAAATTAATTTTAATTTAATTTTTATAAACAACAGAAATTTCTAAGTATTATACTATTAATAAATGTCTATAATCATGAATGTTTAAGAGGTTTTATAACTTTCTTACAAAATTTTATTGCCTTACATCGAAATGGAAATTGATATATTTATCTATTTTTCGAATTAAACTATTTACACCCTTGAAAAAGGAAATATAATTTCCGAAAGCTTGGCGTATGTAAAAAATTGTTTAATTTTTGCCTTCAGACCGCTATCCCCAAGAATTTTCTTCTAAGTTTTTGTTATAAATGATTATACATAGCATAAACTAAAACTAATAATTTTATTCGAAATTATTCATCTATTTCTTGTTACAAATAACTCCAGTCTACATATGAATGTGAATTAAAAAAGAATGATAGATTAAATAGACATGAAAGTAGGTTAAACGGTGCCTATACTATACAAATATTTATGGCATCAATTTTAGTAAGCCAAGTTATAGTTTGTATCATTTCAGCATTTATTTAAATCAGTTATTATAAAGCTATTTAAGGAAATTGTGTGTATGTGAAATAATTCTACTTACAGGCATTTTTGAATATCTGATGGAGAATTTTAGATCTTATTTTACATTATAAATTAATTTTATTTGAAAAGAAATACAAGATATTTATATTAATTATTACTAAAAATATATTATACTTAATTTTAATAGCACTTATTATGAAGTATTTAGTATTTAACAAACTATTGTTTGTGGTAATACGGTGATTACATTTAGGGTTTATTATCCAAAAATAATCTTATATCTTGGAAACATTAACTTATTCATGTTTAAAAAAATCCATATCAAACTCTTGCAGCTTTTGAAGTAGTAAATTATTACCAATTATCGAGCAAAAGCTTTAAGATATAGTTTGGACACTTAAAGAAGATGCTCGACATCAACAGCCAAAAACGCCAACTCAACACAAAAACCCGCTTTTCATGTCGAAACCCAAATTATGTTAACTTAGCCAGGCAACTTCATGGAAAAATCTGGGGCCTCAGACCAGAAATGGTACACTAGAGTAGTCAAGCCTTCATAACATATGTATCCTTGGTACGGTGGCCTAAGGTAATGCAACAAGCAAAAATGCTCATCCTCAGCAAGGTGAAAAAACTTGCTTGTCTGAGTATAACAGGGGCAATGAAATCAACGCCCACTGCATCAATAGAGGTGCTTCTGGACCTTCCACCTCTTCACTTAGTGATCCAGGCGGAGGTAAGAATGGGACTCTATCGACGACAAAGTGTATTGTCTCTGGGAAATAGGACAGAAACAGGACACTTAAAGATGGGAGGGGAGATCGGACCAAATGACCCCTCTTTATCACTACCACAAACCATTCGAGGTGAACAAAATGGATCTAGGAATGTGGACAGATATATTCCTTTAGGATGGACTAACCTGGTACACAGATGGGTCAAAGACCGCTGAAGGAACAGGAGTTGGAGTATTTGGGGAAAGACCAAGGGTAAGCTTATCCTTTTCCTTGGGTAAATACTCAACCGTATTCCAGACAGAAATATTCACCATTCTACAATGTGCGAGAGAAAATAATAGAAGAGCTTATTCAGGTAAGACTGCTCAGACCTGAACTTTGGGCGCTTATGAGCCCAAAGGTATCGTCGAGACTCATCTGGGAATGCCTAGGTAAACTGGGAGCTCTGGCACGATGGAACCTAATTAAATTATCCTGGGTGCCGGGCCACCAGCGGCATCCAGGGCAACAAAAAAGCCGATGAGCTAGCTAGGCAAGGATCATCGGCATCCTAGCTTGGTCCAGAGCATGTCCAGAGCCAGTACTGGGACTACCTAAATGTATGGCCCGTAGTGCACTAAAACTCTGGATCAGGGAAAAGAAGAATGTCCACTGGAGAAACGGACAAGGGCACAGGCACAGCAAGGCCTTTATCCAAGGGCCTAGCTCTAAAACCGCAAAAGAACTGCTCGTGCTTAGCAGGAATAAAGTGCGGATTACAACAGGCCTGTTGACAGGACGCATGGCTGTCAAGTGTTACCTGGACAAGCTCAACCTGTATCAAGGAAATCTTTGCTGCTGACTCTACGATAAAGATCCTGAAACAGCGGAGCACATAATATGTCACTGCGAGGCTTTGGATTGCTTGCTACAGTTTTTATTTGGGAAAGCAAGGCTAGAACCGGAGGAACTATGCTCCCATCCTATCAAGGACCTGCACAAATTGGTGCAGGGTACAGGGGTACAATAGGCATCACAGGTAGCAGTGTTTCCGACAGAAGACGGCCCCTTATTATTGAAAAAAAATAGAGGTTGTAACAATCACACGTCTCTAGAATTCCAAAATTATAATCTAGAGCTTCGGAATTTGGAACATCCGATTTAAATTCCTCTGCATCTACATTCGTGCTAAATACTTTATCTGATAATACAATTTCATTCTTCCCCTATATAAGTTGCCACTGTCGACCTCGCCAATTGTAAAAGTAGCCAAGAACAAGTCCCGCGGTACCATATGCATTCACGATCGGCGGTTCTTCGAGTCGAGTGTCAGCGGACCGAGACATAATCCCATCGAAATGGTACCGTGGATTGTTTTGGTAACCGTGGTACTCGTGGTCGTCGCGCTAGATTCGGTGCAGCCCGCGGCGGTGCAGTACTACGCCAGTAAGTACGAGCACATCGATGTGGAATCGATCCTGAACAACCGGAGGATGGTCAATTACTATACAGCGTGTTTGTTGTCGAAGGGACCATGTCCTCCGGAAGGAGTAGATTTGAAAAGTAAGTTTATTGTAAAAATTAATTTCAATTTGACAATAGAATAATAGTACAATATGATCTAAAAAAAACGGCTTTAGCGATGGCTATGACATGAAGATCGCTGTAATTTTATATGGGGAATGTCATCGATCATCATTTCCACGCCAACTGAACGCCGTCTTTTTTTCGATCATGCGGTATATAATCGCATATTAAATAACGGTAGTGTTTCATTACTGCTGAGACATTAATAAGTCGTGGTTAATCAATTACCCAACTTTTTGGAACACCCTGTATAATTTTTTTAAAAAATTTCAAAATATTTAAAAAAATAAAATAAATTATGCGTGTCCAAGCGTTTTCTCGAAAGACTAATCGTTTTTTAAATAACAAATATTGTAATATTGGAGGTTCGTTTTCGCCCTCTTGGAATTTTAGATTCGGGAAACCTCTCCTTATCGAACCTCTACACCTCACAGTCGATCCGTTTGCCAAAAATCAGCTTTAAACGTCAAGCAGTTTAGGCAGAATCGTGATTACTCAATGGTCATATTTTATGAAACACCCTGTATAAATTTTTAAAAAATCTTAAAATATGTAAAATAACAAAATAAAATATACGTGTTTAAGAGTTTTTCCGAAAAACTCGCCGGTTTTTAAATAAAAAATATTCTAATATATGAGGGATGGTTCACCCCCTTAGAATTCGAGTTTCGAAAAATCCCTCCTTATCGAACCTCTACACCCTAAAGTCAATCCGTTTTCCAAAAATCAGCTTCTTACGTCAAGCTCTTTAAGCAGGATCGTGCGATTAATCAATGACCAGATTTTTCGAAACACCCTTAAACATTTTTAAAAAATCTTAAAATATGTAAAAAAACAAAATAAAATATACGTTTTAATTTAATTTATATGTTTAAGCGTTTTTTCGGAAACTTGGTTTTACCTCTGGTTTTACCCCCTTGGAAGTGGAATTTCGAAAAATACCTTCTTATCGAACCTATACAGGGTGGATCAAATTCGACGCTTTTAAATGGAAACACCCTTTTCTATAGGAGATGGACGAAAACTAATATCGGTGTCTGGAGCTCAATTTTCATCAAAAATATGATGGTGAAAACCGCACATCAATATCTGTTACCGTTTCGGAGTTACGGGGTGGTTTTCAAAAATGTGCATTTTTAACAAATCGCTGTAACTTTTTTGCTATGGAAAATTTTGTATTTCTTTGAAAACATTTCCCAAGCACCTTTTTACGTAGAATTTAATGGTTTAAGTATAATTTTTCTAAAATTAATAATTTAAGAGTTATCAACAGAAAAATTGATTTTTTATTTGGGACACCCTCTATATTTTTAAATAACTGAAAAGAATTTTTTAAGCTTTGGACCCCTTATTGATGATATGCCCTTAATGGAACTCGAAAACATATTTTTCCAGCGTCTTGCTGGAAACGCACCGCCTCTGAACGCTGAAGTTATCAGCAAATTTTTGCAGCGAATTTCAAGAATAATTGAATAGCTCACCAAGATCCCAGCCGTTGGCCGTCAAGGCCGCCTGACTTAGTACCTATGGATATATTTGCGGAAGAATAAAGGTTCCTTATTGTTCCATATAATCTACACAAGAATTAAAAATACTTTGCAGTTATGAGAGGGTGTGTTTCACCCCCACTGAGTTAATGAATTCCGCGAGAAATGTTCAAAAACTGCCCTGTCTGTCTGTCCATAACAGAAGACGGTTGATATGTCGAACACCTCTAGCAAAATGTCATGTCTTGGTTTGCTATTTATTTTTATGGTTATTAGATATAATTTAAATGTGTTGATGTTGGTTAAATATATTTGAAATTGTTATAAAATTCTGCATCTCTCACAGCAAATATTATTTTCGTTTTAATATACGCTCACAGCTAGATTTTTTGTGCATTACACCCGGTGCCGTTCAGAGCCTACTTATTTAAATACTCTTTATCTCGAAGAGGTATCGAGCAAAATATCAAGTGTGTTATATTTTTGGAAAGGTAATTTTAAATTATTTTCAATAAATTAAAAATATACAGGGTGTCCCATATAAAAAATCCAATTTTCTGTTGATAATTCTTAAATTATTAATTTTAAAAAAATTATACTTAAACCATTAAATTCTACGTAAAAAGGTGCTTTGGAAATGTTTTCATAAAAATACAAAATTTTCCATAGCAAAAAAGTTACAGCGATTTGTTAATAATGCATATTTTTGAAAAATACCCCGTAACTCCGAAACGGTAACAGATATCGATATGCGGTTTTCACCATTATGTTTTTGACAAAAATTGAGCTCCAGACACCGATATTAGGTTTTGTCTATCTCCTATAGAAAAGGATGTTTCCATTTAAAAGCGTCGAATTTGATCCACCCTGTACACCATAGTATCAACCTGTATGCCAAAACTGAGCTTCTTACGTTGAGTAGTTTGAGCAGGATCGTGATTAATCAGTGAGTCAGTCACTTAATGATTTTATATATTAGTATAGAAGATATTAAATAATGAGTAGTGTAGTTTCATTACTGTCAAAGAATTAATAAATAAATCTATATATACTGGGTGTTTTTTAAAAGTGGCTCACCCCTGTCACCGAAAATGACAACAACTTTTGATTTTTAAATGGTGCCCTCGGTATTTTTTTAGAAACTTAATTTTTTTAGGGACTTTATTTAGAAAATTCATATCATGTAACTTTTGACATTTTCAAATGAAAAAAGTAACACTAGCATTTTAAATTTCAATCTAGAGAGCCAAGGCTCTCTTAAAACCACTAATTTCTAATCAAGCAGCTTTGGAAAAATGGATTTGATCATCTAATGTTTTCCGTGTCTCTTCCTGGTCGGTCAAAAAAGATAACCAAATCGTGACATCATCATCATTATCATTTTCAGTTTATTCAACCATTTCGAATTATGCTGTAGCCTTCCTCACATATTTAGATAATGTCTTTGTAGTTGGGTTCATTGTTGTCTATTTTTGGCTATGCCGGCCCAAGTTATCCCTGGTATCATATCCCATCTTAGGTCTGGTCTTCTTCTAGGTCTCTTAATTTTTAGAATTTGTGGTCCATCTTCTCTCCGTTCTTGCCAGGTGTTCTGCCCAATGCCCAATGCCAAAATTTTGCATGCATAGGTCATGACCAGGTCATGACTGGTAGTACACATGGGTCGAATGATTTCTTCTGCAGATCAAGCGCCATTATATATTTGAATATGATTGGGTTTCTTCCGTAAGTACTCCACATGCTAACTTGATTAAATCAGTGACATACTAGACATTAAAGGGAAATTCAAAGGAAAATTGTAGGAAAATAACATAATATACAGGGTTTCTCACCGTAGCCGTTCGTTAGAAGTTTTTGAGGTTAGGAAAAACTTAGAAGTTTGAAATTTTGAAACTTATGGTTACTTAAAATTTCCTTTCATTTAAAAATATGTTCAAGGTCATACCACTTCCGGTTACGCCGGAAGTCGCCATTAACTTCCTTATTTCAAAAGGAACACCCTGTATATTATTTAATTTTTGGATTTCTCAGAAAATTTTATGATGAGTTTCATTAGATTTCCCTATACCTATTTTCAACTGTTTCTCAGATATCTTGATTTATTTGAAAATTTTTACATTTTTACCCCTATTTTTAACAGTTGGTCTTTTACTCATTTTGAATTGGTGACAAACGCTTCTGCAGTAAACTGGAGCAGAGGACTAATACCTTCGAAGTCCATATTGACAACTAATTTATCTCATACAGGGTGTCCAAAATTCGATAACTGATTAGATTATTTTTAAACTCAAAAAAGTCCATTTTTTCAAATAAGACACCCTATATATTTTTGGATAGTTGGATGCAGAATTCAATTCTGCATCGATTTGCTATAACTTTCCCTATACCCATTTTCAACTGTTTTCTTTTTAATCCGTATATTTTACTTTAATTCAATTTTTGGCAGAATCGACAATATCGTTTGTGTTTTTTAAAATAAAATAATTATGTTAAACTAATGAAATTGAATGTAATTAGAACATACGAACAAAACAGGAACAAAACGAAAGTGAAAACGTATAAGATATAACATAACATAACAAAACAAACGTATAACAGTAACGGTGAGGCATTAATTATTAACACTAGACGTTTAGTGTATCGCTACCATAATAAAAAAAGTAAACACAATAATTACAAAAATTATTGTTCGAAGTGACCTCTATGAACGAAAATTTTTGTAATTATTGAGTTAACTTTTTTTTGTTATTGTAGGGATACACTAACGTCTAGTATTAATAATTAATGCCTCACCGTTACTGTTGAAAATACGTTTTTTTGTTATGTTATGTTATATTTTATACGTTTTCACTTTTGTTTTGTTCCTGTTTTGTTCGTATGTTCTAATTACATTCAATTTCTTTACTTCAACATAATTATTTTCTTTTAAAAAACACAAACGATATTGTCGATTCTGCCAAAAATTGAATTAAAGTAAAAAATACGGATTAACAAGAAAACCGTTGAAAATGGGTATAGGGAAAGTTAGTAAAATGGATGCAGAATTGAATTCTGCATCCAACTGTCGAAAAATATACAGGGTGTCTCATTTAAAAAAATGAACTATTTTGAGTTTGAAAATAATCTAATCAGTTATCAAATTTTGGACACCCTGTATGCAATAAATTAATTGTCAATATGGATTTCGAAAGTATTAGTCCTCTGCTTCGGTTTACCGCAGAAGCGTTTATCACCGATTCAAAATGAGTAAAAGACCGACTGTTAAAAATATGGGTAAATCTGTAAACATTTTCAAATAAATCAAGATATCTGAGAAACAGTTGAAAATAGGTATAGGGAAACCGAATGAAGCTCATCATAAAATTTTCTTAGAAATCCAAAAATAAAATAATATACAGGGTGTTCCATTTAAAATAAGGAAGTTAATAGCGACTTCCGGTGTAATCGGAAGTGGTGTGACCTTGAAAATATTTCTAATTGAAAGGAAAG